TATTCCATATCTCTTACAATTGATTTACCTCTACATAACAAAATATTTTAAAATTAGAGAAAAAAATGTAACATAATTAGAGAGAAAAGAAATCGATGCTTAAAATCAAATACTTATTCATATTGAGAAAATATAATCCAAGCAACTATAGCCTGTAATCAAAATTTGGATTTAAGAAAATCTCTGAAACAAAACAATAATGAAAAAACTTTCTCATAAACATAGAGACTTTAAATAGTAAACATTTGATCCTTCAAGTTCTAACTTCCATTAGTTTTTTCCTTCTTCATGTAAAGAAAGCAATAAATTTATTAATAAAAAAATAATAATATGATAGTTATAAACATCTAATCATGAATGGTATATTATAAAATTTATTTGCCTTGGTAATTGAAAATAATTTAAATGAATGGTGTATTAATTGTTCATTATTAATATTAATATTGAAAAGATTGGTTTATTCTTAGGTAGATGAAGAGGCAAGATCTTTTTTTTTTTCGGCATATTAATTAATAATATAAAACCATTCATCTTTTGGTAGATGAAGAAGGAAAAAACTAATGGTGTTAGAACTTTGAGAGTTAAGTAACTTACATATTAATTAGTAATATTTAAATTGTTAAAATGATTAGTTGTTTTCATGGATTTAATTTCAGGATCTTGGCTATAAATGCCAATGGGAATAGGGCAATTATAAATATCCAAACATGAATGGTATATTATAAAATTTATTTGCCTTAGTAACTGAAAATAGTTTAAATGAATGATATATTAATTGTTCATTATTTATATTAATATTGAAAAGATTGGTTTATTCTTAAGTAGATGAAGAGGCAAGATCATTTTCTTTTCAACATATTAATTAGTAATATTTAAGATCATTCATCTTTTGGTAGATGAAGAAGAAACAAAAGTAATGGAAGTTACAATTTTAAGGGTCAAGTAACTTACGTATTAATTAGTAATATTTAAAATTTTAAAATGATTAGTGGTTTTCATGGATTTAATTTCAGGCTCTTGGCTATAAATGCCAATGGGAATAAGATGGGGCAAGTGTGGTGGGGTAAATATAAAATGCTTACCCTATTTAATGTATAGGGTAGCATTTTATATATATATATATATATAAAAATTATTATTATCAATTATATTATGTATTATCTGTATATATATAGAAGTGTATCAATTACTATGCTCATCCCTACTATTAATTAATTAAATTTAGTTATGTAATAGTTGATGGGAAAGAAGAATTTGGATTTGGTTGGGCATATATATATATATAATGCTTACCCTATTTAATGCATAGGGTAGTATTTTAATTGATTGATGCACTAATATTTTAAATAGTATTAAGATTTGAATTAATGTAATAATACATAAATATCCTTTTTCTTTATTATTAATTGTAACCATTTAAAAAAAAAACCCTTAAGAATTTATATTAAAAAAGTGCGCCACGCTAAAAAAAACAATATATATTGAGTTAAATGAAACTTTTGATATTAGAGAGTGTTTCATTTAATAATTGTTTTTTTAATAAATGAAAAATAATATATGTATCTTGTTTTATAGTTGGATTATTTTAAACTATAAAATAAAAATTATTTGATAATGAGAAAGCTCTTAATATTAAAGCCTTTTTTTATAAAATAGTTAATGTTTTATAATTAAAAATAATTTAAATTGTAAAACATTTTTTAAATATTAAATTAAAAAAAATACTCATCTACTAACTATTATTTTATTATTTTGTAATTCAATATGGTTTTAACTACAAAATATCAGACAAATGAATTTATATCTACCAATAACATATATGATTAGGTAATTAATTGTCTATTCTCTAAAAAAAACCGAATTTATAAAAAATGTATTGTACTTTTTCTTTTCTTGGAATTTGGAGCTAAAGCTTAACTCCCACAAATCCCACAAAAATTCCCCTCTTTCCTCTCTTTCCGCCATGTTTTTCCTTCTTTTCACCCGTTGCTTTCTTCCCTTCATTTTTCTCCTCGGGTTTCTTCTTCTTGTCAGCTTTTTTTTATCTCCGCTGCTAGCATAGGCAGGCTTAGCTTTCTCCTTTTTGTGTCGAATACCGAATAAAACAATTAAGTCCAAATCTAGGTAAATTTCAAGATTCATAGAGGAAGACAAGATGAGAAGAAGAATGCGGCAAACTCACCTCACCCATTCATTGAAACTTTTTTTTTTCTTGAATATTGAATTGAGTTAAGGCAGTTAGTAGAGAACAGAGAATTGTATGAAGAAAGAAATCGGAGGCTGAGGGGGAATTTATAGGAGAGGAGGGATGGTCATGCCTTTATGGTATGTGATGTCAATGATGGTGTATGATGGGAAAGTGTATCCATTACTTTATATTCCACAAGTATATCCGTTACAATATTTATTCCTATTATTAATTAATTAATTAAAATTAATTGTGTGATAATTGATGAAAAGGAACAATTTGAATTGAATTGGGAATGTATATATATAAAATGCTGACCCTATTTAATGCATAGGGTAGCATTTTATATATATATATATATAGATTATATAATTAAATGATTTTAAGGTTATATTAATAAAAAATTTAACCATGTTATTAAGTTTTATCAGATGGATATTTCATGTAATTTAAGTAAAGAAAAAATATTAATTTTTTCTTAATTAATCTGTCACATTAAAACTTAACTAAAAGTATTAAAAATAAGTTGAATATTTTAGATTTTAAGGATTAAAAAAAGATTTTTTAGTACAAGAATTAAAAAAGGATTTTTTTAAATAGTAGAGGATCAAAAAGAGCATTTAATTTAAGTTTTAATTTTAATTGTGTTATTTATGTTATTTAAATGTAATAATATTTTATTTTTAATTTTAAAATATAAATATTTATCTAACATTTATGTTTTAAAATTTGAATAATTAATTTTTAATCATCAACTTTAAACTAATTATAAATTTAAAGTCATATAAAAATATAAAAATATAAAGTAGGAGTGATAAAAAAAATAAACAATGTTTATTTCAGTCATTTAATATTAAAAGATCTCTTATAAAAAAATTTACCAAACAACTTTTCACTTTATAAGTATTTTTATAAAAAAATTTTACTAAACACTATTAGTTTTTCAAAAACAACACCTTCACAGTGGATTCTTTCTAACCGAACTTCTATTAAAAGCTCTAATCACACTAAACATATTCTAAATTATCTATCACACCAAACCTGCACATTAGGATCAAGTTGTCTTGAAAGTCATTAGACGAGAACAAGTATACCTTTGATATAATTGAGGTTAAATATCAATTTTGGTCCCTCAAGTTTAATGTTTTGCATAATTTTCATCTGTCAACTTTTTTTTGTACTTTTTTAGTTTCTCAACTATGAAAAATGTACTTTTTTAGTCCTTTCGTTAGTTAATCTATTAAATTTATCTCAATTTGCACATTTTTAATCTATCAACTTCTAATATTGCACATTTTTTGTCCATTAACTTAAAGTTGAGAGACTAAAGATGTATAAATTTAGATAGATTTAACAGATTAATTAACGAAAAATTAAAAAAAATGTATTTTTCGTAGTTAAAGAACTAAAAAAGTGCAAAAAAAAAGTTAAGGGTTGAAAATTACACAAGACCTTAAGTTGAGGGATCAAAATTAACATTAAACCAATAATATATGTCATGCACATTTTTTGGATTAGATTATGAATCACATCAAACTTGTTAGGAATACGTTGCAGTCTTAAAATTTATTAGACGAGAAAAAGTATGCCCTAATATTGGATTATCTCCTATTAAATAATTTATGTTGTGCAACGTTGTACCATATAAGAGTGTTCATATCCGATCCAATTCGATTGATCCAATCTAAACTGATCCAATCCAATCAAAAATCGATCCAAACCGATATAAAATTGGGTTGGTTTGAATTCTAAAATTTTAAAATCGATATAATTGGTTTGGTTCGTGATTTTACCTTCAAACCGCCTGAACTGCCCGATTACAAAATAAAATCCGATTAGAAGATAATTTAAGTAAATAATATAACATATTTTTTGTAGTATTTTAAATTTTCTTTTTCTTATTTTACAAGATTATAACTCCATTAACTTAATTTAAAAAATAAGAATAGAATATCTTCATAGTCCCTAAGTTATTTCTCCATTTTAATCATACACTCTAACTTTAATTCTAAATTTTTAATTCACTTGCAATTCTATCTTCTCAGAACTAATTTGTGCCTTTACTCTTAAAATCCTAAATTTCTAATTTATTCTTAAAATAATCTTATGATTTTTCTAACTAAGTTTTAAATAAGTATTATTCTAAAAGTCTTAAAACCATATAATAAAATTAGTTTTAATATTCAACTATTCTTAGATATTTGGTTTAGAAGTTTTAAATTTTTATTTTGAATGCTTATAATCAATTTTAGTAATATTCATGTTAAATATTATTTATTTTTAACAGGATTTAAAAAATGTGATTAAATTATTAGTGTATTAAGAAAAAAAATTAATTTTAACCTTCAAAATTTATTTATGTTGTACTAGAAATTTAAAATTATTTTTTATTGTTTTTGGTGCCTTTAGTGATATAACGAAGAAGAATTTTCAGAACTTTTCAATTTTTACAAATGTAAAAGAGTATAAGAATTCGTTTATAATTTTAACATTTTATTATATTTTTACTGATTTAAATGTTAATATATTTTATAGTTATACTTTCTATTTGATATTAAGATATTTTTACATTATCTTATATATTTAATAATGTTAAAAACCGATTAATCCGACCAAACCACACCGATCCGATTTAAATTGGATTGGTTTAGTTATCACATAATAATGAATTAAATTGGTTTAAAAATTTTATTAACCAATTAAATTGAATTAATTTAAAAAATGATAAAATCTAAATCAAACCACACCGCGAACCCCTAATACCATACATATTTTTTATATATACTTGGGCTATGTTTGTGCCACTCACAAATTCAAGCACAGCAAAAGTACCAGTAAAACCATGGATTCTTCACTGTTTCTAGCTGTCAGTGATGGAAAAGTCGATACTCTTCTTAATCTTCTCCAAATCGATCCTCTAATCCTGGAACGGGCAGCAACCAGTTCAACTGCTGACAGTCCACTGCACATATCCGCCATGCTGGGACACCTTGGCGTCGTCAAGGAGCTCCTCAAACACAAAAGAGATGTGCTTAGATATGTGAAAGAGTTGAACCAGTATGGCTTCAGCTCCATTCACATGGCCTCTGCAAACGGGCATGTGGAGGTGGTTAGAGAGCTTCTCCAAATCAGCCGGGAGCTCTGCAGTCTCAAGGGGAATGACGGGATGACTGCCCTTCATTGTGCGGCTGTCAAAGGAAGGGTGGAAGTGATTAATCTCATCCTTCAAAGTTACCCGGACACCGTTACTGATCTCACCGCAACACGCGAAACTGCTCTTCATCTGGCTGTGAAAAATAACCAGGTTGAAGCTCTTGAAATGTTGATCAAACTTGTGAAGGATTACCACCTTGATCTAGTGGAGATAATCAACTCCATGGATGAGGAAGGAAACACTGTCCTGCACCTTGCAGCTTCTAGAAAAAACCGCTCGGCAATCGAGTTATTGCTGAATTGCAATAACCCAACCCCTGGTGTTTTGGAAGTGAACGCGGTAAACAAGAGTGGGCTAACGCCACTGGATGTTTTCTTACTATGTTCATGTGAATCTATGTATTCGGACATGGAAAGGCTTTTCATGAATTCAGGAGCAGAGAGATCCTGCAACGTAGACAGCAAATTCAGGATTGCTGCTGCTGCTACTGCTCCCAATCCAACCCCTACAACAACAGTACTTGCAGGGGACGTTAACGGTGGTGTACCGAATCGGGAAGACATTATCAATTGGGAGGAGTACTTCAAATTCCAAATGGAAAAAAGCGATCCGGACAAAGTCAGAAGCGATTTGTTGGTGGTTGCTGTGCTAATGGCAACTGCGACTTACCAAGCAATGCTCTCCCCTCCGGATGCTATGAAGGACAGAGAAAATAATAGGTATGGATATATATTCCCGTATTACGCCATATGTAATACTATAGGCTTTTATATGTCCTTGTACATTATCCTTATCCTCACCAACAGTCATCCAATGTATTGGGAATTATTTGCTGCTTCCCTTGCCATGTTTGCTACCTATGGTTGTGCACTAGGTTCCATCACACCGCAAGGACACAATGGGCGAGTCGCCCAAATCGTGTGTTTTCTAGTTCCTTTTCTAATATCCTACGCGGTTCCGAACGTTAGGAAATGGTACAAAAAGCGCAGGAGGGTTGGATTGACTCATCAGAGTGATCATGTCCAGAATGCTTGAATATATACAAGATTGATTGGATCCGAAGGTTAATTAATTAGGAATGTGTTTAATTAGTAGCTAAGCACCATATATGACTATTGATCCTTTTATGTCTTCTTGATTATAAATAATGTATTGATCTGATAGACTTTGTGTTTGTGTTTGAGTTTTTGTCTAGCAGTATCAGTGTATGGGGTTTTTTCTTGTTTGGTACATTTATCAGCGAATGTATTTGATAGACCATGTTATGGAAGTGGTTATGACAGCCATTTGTTTTTGTTAAGGTTATCAGACTCTATATAAAAAATATGAATAATTATGATTTAATTATTAAAAATAGTTAATAATTAATAAAATAATGAATTTTTTTAATTTAAAAAATTAAATTAAATTTAAAAATTAATAGTTTCAGACATTATAACTATTTATTAAAAAAAACTCCAAACATCAACCAAAAAATTTATTCTTTTCAAACAAGGAAAATCTTTTGGGATGGGAGAAGGGAATTGAACTTAACCCAATGGATTAGAGACACACATCCATTTCCAATCGATTTTACAGGTCAAGTGTGTAAACATCAATCAAATTTGTTGGAGGAAGAATTTAAATTTAGCCTATGACTTTTTAAAAAGTTAGTTAAAAAATCAAATTTAAATCTCCGCTCTAAGAAATTTTGACGTCTGTGAGGAAAAAATTTACTGCGGTTTCCTTTTAAGTTCTACCAAAGTCCAAACGATACTTTTGTCACAATATCTTTCTTTAATTCGTCAATCCAGTTTGATTATCTCTTACTAGTTGCTACCAAAAAAGCAAAAAGAACAACCAAAAGTTACTTATCGGGACCAACAAAGCAAAATTCGAGGCAGATGGCCATCCCACATGCAAGAATGCAACAATGGCAGCAAGTAACGGTGGTAACTGTTGACTGCAATTTGCTAAACTTTACAATTAAAAATAAATAAATAAACAAATAATAAAATTAAAATTTATAGATTTATATACATCAATTTATTTAATATTACCCAAATTTTGACTCTTTTTTTTTCTCGTGCAGTATTAAGATTTTCAATTAAGCCTATTCACCGTTTCAATTACTGAATCCTACACCACCGCATATCCGAATTATATCCAATGAAGGGTGGAGATGCCGTTATCAGGTGTTTGATTATTAGATAAATGAACAAAGATCTTTCAATAGAATAAATAGGTACTTATTGCACAAATCTCAGCATGCATGTACCGCCACGCTATACATACAAAATCCTTAAAAGACTGCAATTCACATAAAGAGGAAAAGAAAGAAAAGAAAAAGCCATCAAAATCAATATTCTTATGCGCCCAAAATATAATAACTACACAATCATTGCTTATAATAACCACTTCGGTGAGGAGGACATGGAGATGAAATGCTACAAGGAAGTCGAGGAAAGGATCCAGGTTACTGTCCAGGGGCATTGTAATACGGGCCGTCCCACCCAGGATAAGCAAGTTGTTTGTACTTGTTGGGAAGACATATGGTTTAGCGGATGATATTGAATAATTTATTACATGTTTCGACACTACATTGAAATCAAAAAAATTTAAAAAAATTAATCTAAAAGTTTCATAAGTCTTCACATATATAATTCATTTTTCCCTTTTATATTTCTTCTATACAAGATCTTGACTCTTCACACTCACAAAGACCATACTACTTCTAACACTCCCCTTTCACTTGTGAGTTGTTTTTTTTTACATACATACAGACCCAAAGACCATACTACTTCTAACACTCCCCCTTTCACTTGTGAGTTGTTTTTTTTTACATACATACAGGCCCAAGCCACATTAGGGAGACATATGTTTGGGAGAGATATGACGGGGCAACATACCATTTGTTGGGAGACATACAGGCAACATTAAGTGATTCATTATATGGTTCGATACCACATTGAAATCAAAAAACTAATCTGAAAGTTTCATGGGTTTTCACGTATATAAGCCACTCTTTCCTTTTATATTTCTTCCATGTGAGATCTTGACTCTTCACACTCAGAACGGAACATACTACTTCAACAATACTGATGGCTTGCTGGTGGCTGTTGTTGGACCGGTGGAGGAGCAGAAGAGGCACTAGTCTCGCAGGGAGCACATGGTATGGCGGCGGTTGTTGTGGGGCACCATATGGAGGAGGAGGTTGATCATAGCCAGGCATGGGCTGCTCAGGACGCCTATAATAGGGAGTTTGAGAATGAGGATAGGGTGCATTTCGAGGTTCTGTTTGTGGCTGCGGTGGAGATCTTGGATTTTGATGAGGTTGTCCGACTGGAGGGTAAGGACCTGTGTTCTTACTATCCTGGAAACTAAGACCTGCCATTTGTCTCTGTACATCTTCAATCATTTCTCTGCACTGGATGTTTCGATCGAGTCATTATAAAATCACTGCATTGCTGCTTGACATTTGTGATTGCATCCTGTTTGAGGACAAAAGAAATTTTATATTCATACACATCTTCCAAAGGTATGGCAGTTGCACGAACAGGGGAAGAGTAGGCAAGATAAACTAAAATTCTGCCTCAAGCAACATATAGGCAACTTATTACCTGAAGTGTAACGTACGACTTCAGTCCCTCATTAATGTTACCCTTGATTTCTCTGTACTTTGCTGTGGCAGCCAGAATTTGCATGAACCACTTCTTCCGAGATACTGAAACAAATTTGAATTGAAAATTTGAAATAAAGAGAAAACTAAGGAAAAGAAGAAAATATTGATGAGCTCAGAAACTGAATTTTAGCCCAACTGCACCTTCCTAGTAACACACTCCAAACGAGCAGCATGGGAATAGTACATCATCTGATTCATGGTTGTAGACGTTATTATGGCCGTTGTGTAAACATTCATGCACAAGAAAATTGATTCATAATACCAAGATGACAAGCTTATTTATCTTTGTAATCTTCAAGATCAAAGATTGCAGAGAACTCTTTTGAGCCTGTAACAGTTGTCATTCAGGATACAATTCGTTCTCAAGTAATGTCCCTAAAAACTTTCCACGTAGAAACAGTACTATTGGTGAAAAAACATAAATTTAGGGGAGCACTTGTGCATCCATGTATGTCCCCTAATATATATTATTTTTTGGGTACATCCATCCCCTAATATTCAAGGAGACATTATCACACAAGTAACATTCAAGAAACACAAGTTCTTCCATTTACAGCATAGACATGATTCACTGTAATGACATGCAGAGGTGAATTTTTGGAACTGAATTGAAAGTGTGAAGCAATTTTAAAGAACAGGACAGGAAAGAAGAAAGAAGACGTTATTAGACTTGAATCTGCAACAACAATTGTTCCTGTGGCTCAATATTTTGGGTAATGTCCTAGCAAATGCGATCATATTTTGCCATTTCCTTTCCTGAGAGGATCCTCATAGGAGCCAGTGGACATCATCAGCTTTGGTATTATGTCATCCTAAAGTCACATTTACAGCAAATCCCTGGTCAACTTTATGGTATATGCTAATACAGTAGTAGTGAACTAGTGATAATACTGATTAGAGGAACAGAAGAATAAAATTTAGAAACCATGAAAGAGAATATCATCCATGTTAATCCAAGGTCTGATTTTGAGTCATTCTTAAAAGTGATCCGAACAGAGGTGATAAAATTAAAACTGAGTGGGGACGACATTGACGATTGGGAGGACTACTTCAAATTTGAACTGGGCAGAAGCGATCCGAACAAAGTGAGAAACGATATGCTGGTGGTTTCTGAGCTAATGGCAACTGCGACTTTTACCAAGCAATGCTATCCCCTCCGGAGGCTATGAAGGACAGAGAAAATAATAGTAACAATAGATTTCTATTCCTCTATTACGTTGTGTTTAATACTGTAGGCTTTTATATGTCCTTGTACGTTCTCCTGATCCTCACCAGCACTCATATTCCAGAATTATTGGTTGCTTTCTGTGCCATGTCAGCTACCTACTGTGGTTCACTCGTCACCATTACACCGCCAGGACACGTGGGGTTATTTACCCAATTCATGGTTCCTCTAGTTCCTTCTATAATATGCAGTTTAGTTCCGAAATAAGAAGATGGTACAAAGAGCGCAAAAGGGCTAGACGAGCTTATCAGCGTAATCAAGGCCAAAATGCTTGAATACAAGATTGATTAAATCCTGAGATTAAGTAATTAGGAATGTGTCTAATTAGTAGCTAAGCACTTTGAATATTGATCCTTATGTTTCTTGATAATAAATAACGTATCTGATAGGCTGTGTGTTTGTCTGTCTAGCAGTGTATCAGTGTGTGTATTTATCTGATGGACTATTTTGTATTTGATATGCTATCTTATGTGCTGCAATGTTGGAACATATTTATTCTATGTGTTATCAATGCTCAAACAAGCTGATCAAAAGGTTGTTTGGTGGAGCTTGCTTTTAAGCTACTTAAAAAGTTGTATTTTTTGCTTGGAATTGGGCTTGTGACTTGTAAACAAGTTTTAAAAAAAGCTACTTAAAAACTCAAATCTAAATAACAAAATTTTAAATTTTTGAAAGAAAAATTTACTTTTAAGCTTTACCAAATGGCCTTAACTGTCACAGTATCTTTCTTTAATTCTCCGATCCGGGTTTGATTCCGGCGCCGCCTGACAGCTGCTACTGCAAAATAAATGATCTTTATTCCAAGCACAACTACAAGTTATTTATCTGAAATTTTTCCTAAACAAAATATGATTTGTTTGGCTAAAGACGCCAATAAAAGTAAAATGAAAATAATATAATTATAATATTATATAGTATTATAAAATTATAACATAATATATTGTTATATAATTGATTTTTTTCACTCAAAAATTTATTTATGATATTATATATATATCTATTTGTTTAATAATATATATATTTACACATAATTTTACAACAAATGGGACAATGTCACACGTCATCCATGCTGGTTAGTATTTTACCAGTTGAAGGTTATTGGTGTAAATCTCTCTGGTAAGGTTAAGTGGTTATTTCGACAACGGCAACAAAACCATTTGCTTGTTGTAAACTTTCAGAAGGATTATCGACAGCACCAACGGATAAATCAATTTGTTTCAAATTTCACGCTGCAGTTGGTTTTTTGGGTGCTACTGTAGATTTCCATCATGTTGTCAAGGTGTTATACATACCCAATAATGAGATCAAGCAAGGGATCGACATCTCACACAACAAACTCAGTACAATCTCTCTTTATGCTCACATTTATCTTAGTTTCAAGACTTTTAGTTTAGTTTTAACTTTACGCTTCAACCTAGATTAGTTTAACAATTTAGTTCTCCTTTTATCAGATTTGCAATAGTGAGTTTCGTTGCCTTCAGTAATATTTCTTTGAAATCGAATTGCTTCCTTTCCTTTTTATTTGTTTTCCAAGTTTCTTTTAATTTAATCAATGATGTCGACATTTAATTTCATATTCAATTCAATTTCTGTTAATTTATATTTCATGCTGCCAGTAGATTTTCCATGTTTCCAATTTTATTTACTTTAACTTAATTTACTTTTTCTACAATTAAATTTCCTTTTAAAACTTTGCTTCAACCCAGTTTGCGTATTTAAAGTTCATTTAGATTCTCGGTAGTTCAGCGATTATTTATTTTCCTTGCAGTCTTAACTTTTCTTGATTACATTAGTTTGGAGAAGTTCTTGGAATCATATCCAAATCATTTTGTCATATAACTCATTTAGTGCAGGAAGTTCATCCCTCGTTTTTGCTAATCATCTGATCTTTAAAACGCAGTTTATAACGTTTTTTCATTAACTCACGAACTGAGTTCCACGCGTGGAAAGAAGAGAGAGTCGTCAAAAAAATCTTTCTTGTTTTAAGTAAAGCAAGTGGCACGCCATGTCATCTACCACGTGTCAAGGAGATTTTTTGGGATAACAATATCACACTTATTTAATATTATATTTTAGTTATAAATTTACAATCATATGCAATGTTGAAACTATATCATCGCCGAAAGCAAAATCAAGGCAGATAACCATCTCACATGCAAGGTACTCGGATGCAACAATGGCAGCGACAGTGGCATACCAGTTGACTGCAATATTTCCATTAATTCTTCCGAAAGCCAATCTAAATTTACTAGGACCAAAAAATAAAAAACGAAGAAGAAGAAGATCAACGCTGACTGATATCGGATTTAACAAAAGGCATGCCGTGGCTTTGGACTAGTTGACATTTTCTCATTCTAAACTTTACAGAGACAAGTAGATTCATATGCACCAATTTATTTAATATCACCCAAATTTTGACCCTTTTTTTTTTTTAATGTTTGTGCAGCATTAATACCTTCAATTAAGCCGCTTCACCTTTTCAATTATTGAATCCTGCACCACCTCTCATTTCCCTATCCTTAATTTCTCTCAACCAAAACATGCCCCTAGGCCTTAGGCAAAGAGAAGGCAAAAACAACGAAGGCGGACATACCGAATCATATCCAATGAAGGGTTGAGATGCCCTTATCAGGTGTCTGATCATTTAGGTAAATGAACAAAAAATCTTTCAATAGAATAGGTACCTATTGCAGAAATCTCAGCACACATGTACCGCTAAGCTATAAATACAAAAATCCTTAAAATACTGCAATTCACATTGAGAGGAAAATAAAGAAAAAAAGGCTATCACAAGCAATATTTTTATATGCCCAAAATGTAATAACTACACAATCATTGCTTATAGTAACCACTTTGGTGAGGAGGATATGGAGATGGAATGCTATAAGGAGGTCGAGGAAAGGATCCAGGTTGCTGTCCAGGGGCATTGTAATATGGGCCATGCCACCCAGGATAAGCAGGTTGTCCATACTCATGGCTTGCTAGTGGCTGTTGTTGGACTGGTGGAGGAGCATAAGGAGCACTAGTCACAGGGGGCACATGGTATGGTGGTGGTTGTTGCGGTGCACCATATGGAGGAGGGTGACCATAGCCAGGCATTGGCTGCTCTGGAGGCCTATAATAGGGGGTTTGTGAATGAGGATAGGGTGCATTTTGAGGTTCTGTTTGTGGCTGTGGTTGGGATCTTGGAGTATGATGAGGCTGTCCGACTGGAGGGTAAGGACCTGTGTTCTTACGATCCTGGAAACTAAGACCTGCCATTTGTCTCTGTACATCTTCAATCATTTCTCTGCACTGGATGTTTCGAGTCATTATAAAATCACTGCATTGCTGCTTGACATTTGTGATTGCATCCTGTTTTAAGATGAGAAATTTTATAATCATACACATTCTCCCAAGGTAAAGCAGTGGCATCAACAGAGGAAGAGTGGGCAAGATAAACTAAAATACTGCCTCAAACAACATATAGGCAACTTATTACCTGAAGTGTAATGTAAAACTTCAGTCCCTCATTAATGTTACCCTTGATTTCTCTGTACTTTGCTATGGCAGCTTGAATTTGCTTGAAACACTTCTCCCGAGATGCTGTAACAAATATGAATTGAAATAAAGAGAGAGAAAAAGAAAAGAAGAAAATGTTGATGAGCTCAGAAACTGAATTTTAGCCAAACTACACCCTACTACTAACACACTCCAAACAAGCAGCATGGGAATAATACATCATCTGATGCATGATTGTAGACATTTTTATGGCAGTTGCTGTAAACATTCATATAGCATGATTTTAGACATTTTTATGGCCTTTGTTGTAAACATTCATATACAAGAAAATTGACTCATGATACCAAGATGACAAGTTTATTTACCTTTGTAATCTTCAAGATTAAAGATTGCAGAGAACTCTCCATTTTGAGCCTGTAAAAAGGGACAGTTGTCATTCAGGATACAATCCATTCTCAAGTAATGCCCCTAGAATTTTGTCACGTAGAAACAGTACCATTGGTGAAAAAACATAAATTTAGGAGAGCACTCGTGCATTCATGTATGTCGCCTAATATATATTATTTTTTGGGTACATCCATCCCCAAATATTCAAAAAGACATTATCATAGAAGTAACATTCAAGAAATACAAGCTCTTACATTTGCTGCTAGAGGCATGATGCAGTGTAATGACATGCAGAGGTGAATTTTTGGAACTGAATAGAAGAGTGAACCAATTTTCAAGAACAGGACAAGAAAGGAGAAAGAAGAAATTATTAGACCTGAATCTGCAACAATAATTGTTCCTGTGCCTCAATATTTTGGGCAATGTCCTCGCAAATGCGATCATATTTTGCTATCTCCTTCCTGAAAAGATCCTCATAGGAGCCAGTGGACGTCATCAGCTTTGGTAGTATGTCATCCTGAAGTCACATATACAGCAAATCCCTGGTCAACTTTCTGGTATATGCTAATACAGCTGTAGTGAACTAGTGATAATACTGATTAGAGGAATAGAAGAATAAAATTTAGAAACCATGAAAGAGAATATTATCCATGTTAATCCAAGGTCTGAAATGTAGAACAGAAATGACCACATTGCTTAGGCTCTGTTTAGCATGATTGTGGTTTTAAGTTTTTGGTTTTGGTTTTCAAAAATTTAGAAACCCTGGGATAAAACCATGAATTTTTATAAATTAATTAAGTTTAGAGCTTTGGGTATTCATTTTAAAATTTTATACACAATAAGTTGGCAATTTTAATTTTTAATTTTAGTTTTTAATTTTTAATTTTTAATTTTAGTTTTTAATTTTAGTTTTTAATTTTTAATTTTGATTGTTTGAATTTGGAAAACCAAACCAAAAAGCACAACCATATTAAACGAAGCCTTAGTTTACAAGAAGCAAATACCCACTGTCAAAAAACGTTGATGGTCATTTTCAGAATCATAGTATCTATCAATCATAATTTTTAATCTTTTGAACACAAATTGGTCACAAAAAAGAATATTATGATTCAAGAGCAAACAAGACTGAAAACAAAACGATGACTCTATTATTGAGATCATAACAAGCACACCTGTATGCATAATGGCCATGCATACAGCAAAGGCAGACCAAAGTAGAAGAGATCTTGCAATAGTAGCATTAAAATGTTAATAGTACCTTTCTTTTCATCTCTTTAAGCATGTCTTCAAGACCTGCCCTCTGAGCACCAAGAATCTCCAATTGCCTCTGCACAGAAAACAGGGCAAAAACTCAGGAAAAATGTCTTCCACCCATGTACTAAAGTTCAGTTGTGATGATAAAACTGGAAACCACATGTAACCAGATGAAAAGAAGGGTGTGAAAGTGTTGTATGGCTATAAAAGGACCCCCTGACAAAATTAAGGTTCTCTGTTCTCCTTTTTACCAAGGAGCCTCTGAAAAAATTAAGGTTCTTTGTTCTTGTTTTTAGTTTTAATTCATTTGCATGAGTATGCATGTCTTTTCTTTTTCCCTTTTTGTTTTCAGGAGGAATGGATCTGGTTTGGAATTAGGGAGAGAAGTGAATCAGTAAAAATCCTATCAATTTTGTACGGGAAAAGAAACATACCAGGCTTTGTTTGACGGCCCCTACTATAGCATCTTCATTGGCATCCAATGAAATTATTGGCCTAGACAGAGTGGGAAGTGCCGATTCAATCTGAGGAGAAGGCAAATGTATAGAAGATGTCATATTCATTCCACAAGCAGAAAAAAATTAACTGGAAATGAAAATAACTAAGAGCAGCATCATATCAAGGAATTGCTCCTTTTTACCATTAAAAAAAGAGGTAAAACACTTTCTTAAAAGAAACACTTAGCTAAAAGCTCCAACACTTATTCACCTCAGACAAAAAATGCATCCTGCAAAGACCAGATAAGAACGCAACTACCATACCTAACAGATAAAAATAACAATTAGTTTAAAATATGTACCGGACGATGGTCTAGGATTGACATCAGAGCAGAATGATCCCTCACCGAACGCTCAATGCAGGCATCACTATCTGCAGCTTGCTTTAAGTTAGCTGCAAACCGATTCAACCTATCCTGCAAATTCTTTGTCAGAGTGCTGGACTGAGGTCTAGTCCACCGTGTTCCAAACTGACTTCTAAACTGAGCATCTTCTGTAGCTTCTTTTTGCAAAAGCTCCTCAGTCTGGACAAGCAATTCATTGTTCACCCTTCTGAGATCCCTAAGCTGCTGTAACTCAGCTTCCAAACCGGCAGGGCCTCCACTAATTTGCACAGCTTCCACATCTTCTTTAAGATCTGCAGGGAGGGTGAAATGTCCCTCCAAGGCAAGAATAGAATCTGGAAGGTCCATTTCCTTGAGCCTCACTCTGGTTACCTCACTTCCTTGCTGCAATTTCTCTGCTTGTGTCCTGATGACATCATCAACCATTTCAGTGTACCTGGAAAGGGCCTTTGCACTGCTGTCAGGAACAAGACTTGCAAACATCTTCTCCTTGCTAGCATCCAAAACTTCATTCATCTGCATAGGCTTTACCATTGAAAATGCTGGGAGAGGTGACAAGGAACTAGGAGGAGGGACCCTCATGAGGTAAACTCTATCATTTTCTTTCACAGCCCTCTCAAGGTTACGATTAAGATTGACTTCTAACTTATTAATTGCATCCAGGAGCTGAGCAGCAGCCCCTTTTGATGATGACTTTTTCACCTCAGCTAAAGCATTAACCCCACTCCTCAGGCGTGCTATTTCTTCTGCAATCTCTTCTTTCTCATGAAGCTCCATACCACACCTATAGCAAGCCTCTGCATAGAACAGAGCTGCCTTAAGCTGCACATGTGAGATCCAGGCTTTGTCAAAATGATCCTTCAAGGGTGCAACAACCAATGCAGCCAAAGCTTCCTCGTAGTAAAGTCCAACCTACAATTAAACTCATGTCAATCTGCACAAACCTGAAATCAACGCCAGAAAAATGTGGCTTTGGGAATGAAACAAATTCTTAATCCCATGATCAAAACAGTAATGCTGGGCCAGGCAACTCCACATTTCTAAAACATAATTCTATCCACCCTTTAAGATTAAATCCCTATTCATTAAAGGTCTTTATTTTTATTTTTAATTTTACAATTGACTGCAAATGGTATCATCTGCCACTCACTAATCCCAGAAGATTGGCTATCCATTCCTTTTAAATCTAATTCAACTTTTAAGTAATTCATTAACAGCTATCCAGAAAAAATAAAATCAACAAGACAACAATAGAAAAAATAGAACCCACCTGCCTAGAAATCTTGGCACAAACTCCTGGAGTGCTTCCTTTAGCGATAGTATTCTCAAAGACACACTCCTGAGCCTGCGCTAGCATCAACCTCTCCAACATCCCCGCACACTCTACAGACAAATCGACTGTTGCACTACTCCCCATAGATGCCTTGGTGGACGCATTATCCCGCAAAAACGCGAACGATCCAGCTGCCGCAATGAACGCGTGGGAAGCCTGCCGCCTGCCGTCCACCGTGGCCCTATCATACGACAGCCCAATCTGACTGTACACAGCTCCAAGATTAAAAAGAACAGCTGCTTTCTCCAAATGTATGTTATGCTGAACCGCTTTATGTTTCTGCTTGAAAGCATCGAACCACGTGAACTGAAGTGTATTGATGTGGTCTTCGTTCGGGGAGATAGGGAAGCGAGTTTCAACGAGGCAAAGGGCTTTGAAATAGGAGATAAATAGGTCACGGCGGACGGTGGGAAAGGGATCGGGGACGCGCTCTATGTCAGAGCGGAGTTGCTTGAGACTGTTGAGGTCGTCTTCGAGGTTGATTGCTTCGCGCTCGGAGTATGTGAAGGCGACGTAGTTGCGAAGAGGGCGGTAAAGGTCGATGGAAGTTGTCTTCTTCTCGAAGATTGCGAGCATGATGTTGGTGGCAACCGCCGACGGCGACGGAGACGCGGCCATGGCGGGAGTGAAAATTTATAACGGAGATGAGATTTGAGGATCCAGAGATGGATGAATTAAGGCGGAGGAGGTGGATTTGACTCTGCCAATTTCGGTTTTCTGCGTTTTTTTTTTTTTTCTTTTTCTTTTTCTTTTTTCTTATTGGCAAAGGAAGGGGAAGGAAATTGCCAACGAAGAACAAAGAGTGTGATGTGGGTTCTAAGCCCAACAAGAAGAAATTCTACCATTCTAGTCGTCTCGCCGGTCGATTCTTTACAGCTCTGAACCATTGACTCGAATTTTTTTTTTTTT